GGGGGGAGGAAAGGGGGGAGTAGCGTCTCGCATGGTGTGGCAGCACGGGTTTCGACACCGATTGCAGAGAGGGCGTAACGGAAACAGGCATGGAGGACTGCTGTTCCAATCGCAGCCAGCAAAGAGTCCTCCAAACACACTCAAAACCACCAAGCAGGCGCACTGCACGGCCCCCTACCGAGCCCCCGAGCTCTGGGAGGTGGTCCCTGGGACCGTCCTCACAGAGAAGGTGGACGTCTGGGCGGCGGGGTGTGTGCTGTACTGCCTCGCGTACCGCGAGTCGCCCTTCGAACGCGCCACGGGCACGACGGGGGGCAGCCTGAAGCTGGCGATACTCAAGTAACGGGGGCTGGGAGGGCGCAGTGTGTGCGGGTTGGGTCTTGCTGTTGCCGAGCCCCTGCCCATCCTCCCTGGCGACCGCCCTTCATCCACGTGCTCACATCACTTTGGGTGCAGCACTGCTTCGTCCTTCCGCTCGACAGCGCCGCACACTCCACCCCCCCCACCGCTCGCCCCCTGCATCCCAGTGGCGGGTGCACATTCCCCGAGGAGCCCAAGCACCTGGCCTGCCTCCAGCCCCTCATCCGCGCCTGCCTGGAGCAGGACCCGTCCAGGAGGCCAAGCGCCGCCGAGGCCAAGCTCATGGCCCAGACGCTGCTGGAGGAGGCGGTGCGTGACCCAGTCGGTGGGCTGGAGGGCGCAGGGGGACCCTTGGCGCACCTCACTGCACGCGCCTCGCCGGTGGCGGGCCTGGAGGGGACAGGAGTCGCTGGCCCTGGTGCGCTCTGACCCCCCCCAGACCTTTCGTCCATGCGACGCCGCTTTCATGGTGATTTCCCAGGCGACCATCATGCCAGGCTGCACTGCCGTGACTTTGTGCAGCATCATCCTCCCTGCTGTACCATGCGCACTGCGCGACCTTCTTGTAGAAATAAACGGGGGGCGGGATGGGTGACAAAGCCATGCACGGCTACGCAGGAGGATTGGGTGCAGGAGTGAGGGCCCTGCATGCTACGCGCCCAGCATCCCAAGCGCCGTCTCCAGCCGGGCCCGCGCCTCCGCCTCGCCCTCCCCCTGCCGCGCCCGCAGCGCCTCCAGGTTCTCGCCCAGCGCTGCGACGGCGGGGTGCCTGGGCACGGCTTGGATCCAGGGTGGCAGGAGCGCGCCCGCCATCCTCGCCCCGCGCTCGGCGGCGAGCGCGGGGGTGATGGCTGGAGTGGCGCTCACCGCCGGCAGCAGCGCCCCAGCCAGCAGCCGGTCCAGGGCCAGCTGGCGCGCCCAGCCACCAGGCATGACCTCGTCCAGCAGCGCCAGGGAGCGCAGCAGGCGCAGCGCGCGGTTGAAGCGCGCCGCGGCGTGCAGGCGCGCGCGCGGCGCGGCCGCCAGCACGGCGGCGGGCCGCACGGGGGGCGGGCCTGCCAGGGCCTCCGCGACGGCCTCCTCGACCGCCGCCCGCACGCCGGCGTTCAGTTCGGCCACCGCCGCCTCCTCCCCCGGCAGGTGGTCCTCCAGCGCGGCCAGCAGCGCAGCCGCGCCACGTGACTGGCGCACGCTTAGCGGCGACCAGGCGCCGGGCGCCAGCGCACGTCGCGCAGCCGGCAGCACGAGGCTGGACACCAGGCGGGGGACTGTGAGGTCGTCCTCGTTGTTCGTCGTCGTCGCCGCGGGCCCACCCTCCCCAGCCGCCCCCTCCTGTTCATCCCCCTGCCCGAAAGTGAAGAGCTGGGAGTACCAGGCCAGGTCGGTGAAGGGCGCGCGCGCGTCCAGGGGTTCCCAGGCCAGCAGCTCCAGTCGGACCCAGGGCGCGAAGAGCGCGGGCGCGGCAGCGGCGACGTAGGCATCGCGGTAGGCCGCCGGCTGGCGCCGCCGCCAGCCGTCCAGCTCGGCGCGGACCGCGCGCAGCGTGCCGTACGGCTCTGCAGCATCCAGGAAGAGCGTGTCTGCGGCCTGCGGGCGGACGCAGGGGGGGGAGGGATGATCAGATGGGGGGAGACGGTCTGCAGCGACAGAAAGCAAAAGGATTGCGGCAGTCGACGCCCGGCTCCCATTGCTCGAGACCAAGCACAGGCTCACACTGCACTGCGTCGAACATGCACCACGATCTCCCCGATGTCCTCAACAAAAATATGAAAATCAAGGCCCCAGCCTGCCTGCAGGATCTTGTCGCGCGTGTTCCGATACTCGTCCACGTCCCCCTCGGACTCGCTGGAGGTGGCCCCGTGGAACTCCAGCTCGGGGTCGGGGCTGCCTGTCGACCCTGCTTCCCTCACACCGGAGCCCGGCAGCGCGGCAACGAGCCGCTCCAGCGCGGCGTCGCCGGCCTCGGCCTTGCGCTGCGCCTCCTGCCGCGCCCAGGCCCCCGCATTCCTCCCGAATTCGTCCAGCTCGGCGGCCGGCGGGGCGCCATTGGCCGCCGGCGACGCGGCGCCAGCGAAGGCCGCCGCCGCCTCAGCCTCCGCGCGGGCGGCAGCGAGGTCGCCGCCGGCACTCAGCACAGATCCAGCGGCCGCCGCCGAGGCCGCGGCCTGCGCCGACAGTCTCGCCCAGCGCGCGGCGCGGCGAGCGGCGTGGGCGGCGTGCCGCTCCGCCGCCGCCGCCCCCAGCTGCTCCTCCATCACCTCCACCACGGGAGCCTTCTCCTGCAGATGGTATTGAGGCGAAGGCTGAAGTAGGAGGCGGCTGTTTGCCTCGTCAGCGGGGCATGTATTGCTCTGCAGAGGTTTCCCCGCTAGATCACCCCCACAGGGAGCCATTACCCCTCACTCAGATGCACTCCATGGCCTCACTCATCCCGGCCCCTCCATCTGCGTCAGGACCCCAACCCCCCCCCCACCCCGACACAAACCCCTCCTCGCCTGCAGCATGGCGCACAGGTCGGCTGCGTAGGCGCGCATGCGCTGCACGTCCACGTACTTTTCAGAGGCGCGGTCCAGGTCGGCGCGCAGGGTCTCCACGCTGGCGACGGCGGTGCGCAGCGCGGCGGCGGTCCGGTCGCGCTGCTTAGCTGCCGCCAGCGCGCGCGCGCGGCCATCATCCACCGCCGCCCTGAGCGAGGCCAGCGCCGTGGCGCCCGCGGCGGCCAGCGCCGCTCCCGCATCCTCCGCGGCGCCGGGGTGGCCGGGGGGGCGCATTGCGCGGGGCGCGGAGCGTGCCGCCGCCGGCGGCGCTGCCCCTGCGGGGCCGGGGACCAGCGCCGCCCGGTGGCTCAGCCCGCCCATGCCCTTGGTGATCTGCTCCTCCGCCCAGGCGGCCTCCTCCTCGTCCAGGTCCTGGCGGAGAGAAGCGAGCGTCGGGGGTGTCGCAAGGTGGGGCGTGGCTTGATAGGGGTCGAAGAGGCAAGCTGCAGGCGATCACCTGGGCTGCTGGTGCTGCGGCAGGGCCGACCAGGGCCTGCCGCAGCACCAGACCCTTTCGACATGCCCACTCCTGGAGGCAGACACCCTCTTCCCATCTTCACAATCTCAGGTGCACTGCGATGCTGACAACGGGCCCACCTGCGGACCGAGTTGTCCTGGGGCATCGCTCCGCGTGCCCAGGCCAAACACCATTCGTCCCCGGTCCTCGTCGTCCGCCTCGGCGTCCGACCCACTGGGGGCAGCGCCCTCTTCGGTCAGCTTCCTGTCACGCGCCCTGCGGGGAGGCGTCGGCAGTGAGGCGCAGTCGGTCAGGCGGGCTCGGAGCACCAGCGCTTCAGACTTTGAACTGCATGTTCAAGATCTTTTTATGAAGACAGGATGACTTCAGAGTATTACATTGTCTTTCTCGACGACACCCATCAACACGCAGGCACACAGCATTGTCTTGCGATGCCCGCATATACACGTCCTTGCCCCGCCGCACCTGAGATCAGTGCCTCCTCCCATACCCGCCGCCAAAGGCACATAGTCCGGTGCAAGGTGGGCCGACCTCAGCCTCTCCCGGGTCTCCTTTGCTCTCCTGATGGCATCCGCGCTCGGAAGCGCGCCGCCATCAGAATCACCGCCAGAGTCGGAGTCTGCATTCGATGCCAGCACCCCTGACGGCAGTGGCGGCGGGGGCGGGGGCGGGGGCGGCGGGGGCGGTGGGGGCGGTGGAGAAGCAACTGTCTCGAGGGGCCCGCCCTGACCATATGGCAGGGAGGAGCTGGATCTGGGCCGTGCCAGGCCAGCTGTACCTCCTGACAAAGTTTGCGCAACAGATGGCTTGGGAGGCCCGGCTTTGAAGCTGCCCGCCACCACAAAGGCGGGCTGTGCAGAGGCCACAGGTTTCCTCAGCATCGAGCTCTGCAGCTCCTTCAGCCGATCAGCGCTGTACTCGCCTGGTGAGGAGGTCGAAAGGCAGGAGCTAAGCAGCGGTGTGAGGAGCAGGCCCAGTCGTGAGTCCATCCAGATCCTCCACTATCATTGAGTTTACTTCAGACCACCACCCCTTACAGAAACACACCAGCAGACGACACTTGTGTGCTGGCTGGCCGGGCTTCCAGTCTCAACTCCCTGCTCTCAGGGCGAGCGATGCCCGCGCCCCTCAGTTTGCGGCGCTCGGGTCTTACTACGACGGGCAAAGCAGCCTCCCCATCCTCAGCATCATCCTCGAAGCTGAGCAGGGACTTGCGCTCCGCCTTCTGTCGGGCCTGGACTGCAGGCCGTGGCGCCTTGGCTGGTCCAGATGCAGACAAAGGTTCCTGATCCGCCTCATCCTCGTCATCGAAGGACAGGGCGGACGTCTTGCGGAGATTTCCCCTCTTCATCCCCTCGGGTCCCTCTCCAGCCCGACCTCAGGCCATGATACCAAGGCTAGATACCATGCCAAGCAATGTAATTTTGTACCCTGATGACTTGCGACAGTTCGAGGTCGTATTCGCACCTCGCGCAGAGCTACCTGAGGCCGAGTCTGATCAAGTGTTCCTGCTGACGTGCCCATCAGGCGCCCTCGTGTGGGCGCCACACGCAGGGACATGCAAAGTGGGCCGAACACATCGTCGAATGCGGGTTGCACATTCAACCGAGATCCAGACTCAACAAGCAATACATTGCATATGTGCAACATGTGTCGTCACGCCAGGGGCAGGTGTTGACGAGCTGGTTCCAATGTCGCCTGGGTGACCACAACCGAGTGTCCAGACCAGCGGTCGATGGCCCAGAGGACCGAGAAGAGCAGGCTGGTCTCGGCCATGTCTGGATCCCTGTCGGGAGCATGTGTGAGCGCGATCGTGCAGCCGCTGGACGTGGTGCGCACACGGATGCAGGTGGACGTCAACCGAGGGGTGCACGTGAGTGCCTGGGGCACCCTGCGCACCATCACTCAGGAGGTAGGAGCGCCTGGGAAGGCGGGACCCTCGATTTAAAGAGGCTACTTACATTGTATGTCCCCATCTCGATGAGTTGTAGCCTGATGCCTGCCCTGCATCCCTCCCTCAGTCACACTGGACGGGGCTCTGGCGGGGCACCCAGCCGACCGTCATCCGGCTGGGTCTGGGCGCCGGTCTCCACTTCTTCCTTCTGGAGACCATCAAGCCCCTGGTCTCCCAGCGCCAGCCTGACGGCTCACTCAAGCTGGGCGCCCTCCAGGCCGCGTTTGCAGGTGGGGTGATGAGGCTGTCTTTCCACTTGCGTGTGGCCATTGCCGACCGAGACACCCCGCCCGTGCCGTCCACAACCCCCTCATGGCAAATTCAGTACGTGACTCCCCCTTTTCCGACCCTTCCCGCTCCAGGGGGCTGCTCCCGCGCCATCGCCGCCGTCGTCTCGTGCCCCATCACCGTGGTCAAGACGCGCATGGAGTTTGGGAGCGTGCAGGGCAGCAGCACGCTGGGCGCGCTGCGCGCCATCACGCGCGCCGAGGGCGTGCGGGGCCTGTTTGGCGGCCTGGGGCCCACTGTGCTGAGCAACGCCCCCTTTGCGGGGCTGTACTACATGTTCTACACCCGCCTGCAGGTGTGTGTGTGAAGGGGGGACGGTGTTGGGGTCGGGAGGGGGTTCACTGTCGACCCAAGGGGGGATCGCTGCCTGCACACCCCATCCTCTCGTCACGCCCTGCTGCGGGTGCTGGCCGGCGCGGCCATGCACAGGCCTGTCCGCCCAGCCCCGACTTCCAACGACCCCCAACCCCCTTCTCCCCCTCCTCTGCAACAAACTCGCAGTCGCGGCTGAACGAGAGGACAGCGTGGCGGCCCATGGCCGTCAACCTGCTGTCCGGCACGGTGGCCGCCGTCTCCGCCACGCTGCTGACTCAGCCCTTTGACGTGGTGCGGACCCAGGTCCAGCTGCGGCTGGTGCCGCGGGCGGCGGGGGCGGCAGGGGCGGCCGCGCCGCACCTCTCCGCGCTAGGCATGCTGCGCCACATCAGCGCGTCCCAGGGCGCGAGGGGCCTGCTGGCGGGGGCGGTGCCGCGCGTCGCCAAACGGGCGCTGCAGACCGCACTCATCTGGGTGTTCTACGAGGAGCTCATGGGGCGGGCGGCGGTGGCGGCGCGCGCCGCCGCCGCAGTGCCGCCAAAGTGAGCCTGCGCCGTGCCGGCCACGCCAGTGCAGGGTTTGAAGGCCTTGCAAGGCCTCCTTGTGCCATTTTACTTCATCAGTGATGCGACTCGCAAGGGTGGTCCGGCATCCAGAGAGGCTTCGCCCACCGCATAGTACGGGGGGAAGCCTCAGCCTTCAATCGCCGGATTTCAAAAGCCGGCGGGAGTCCGCTCGAAATCCCGGATTCGAATCCCAGCCCATTCGATAGTACAGGGCCATCGAGGCGCCCGGGCCGCTCCCTGTTCTGCTCTCATCACTGTAATGAGATAAAGTGCAGAGAACCGAGGGAGCACAATCGAAGTTGTCCTTGGGCAGATCGTACTGGTTTGACATCGCAGATCCCTCTCGAGCATCTGCGGCCGGCAAACGGACCAGCCAGGACGCGCAGCCATACACAGGGCCCTCCCACGCCTCTACCATCGCATATTGAAGGGGAGGGATATACCTCGAAAAGGCTGCCAGTCGAATTGGCATTGGAGGTGCGCCTGCGAAAGTAGGGTGATGCGTGCCTCGAAGGGTGTTTTAATAGCTTCGAAGCCGGGTTGCACTTGACGCTGAACAACTATCGCGTCCCAAATCAAACAGGAGTGATGGAGATTTACCGTGACGAGCACTTCACATCCATGCGCGGCGTCCTTCTCGGTGAGGGGGGTGGTCACGCATTCAATCTATTTGGATGGCATCGACCTCACACTACGGCAGCAAAGCCCTGCTCCGACCCACCAACCGCCATCTCACAATGTGCAGATTCCACACGCCCTTCTCCATCCGGCTCCAAACATCATGGTAAGTCCAGGTCGCCCCTGCGAGACATCACCAGCGCATTCAACGCCGGGCCAATGAACTGTCTTCGATCCGGCCACCAGCTCGCATCAGTCGGCCAGCCAGCAGCCCGCGCCGCCTCCAAGCCGTCTAGCACTCCCACCCTCGCCAAGACCCTGACACTGAGAAGCATGAGGTAGCCCCCAGGCCCATCACTTGCCTCACACAGTTGACCATCACTTGCCCACTCCCTTTGCACTGCTTGATGCAAAGGGCCAGGACCTCACCATGCAATGCCAGACAGTGCTGTCGAGGCACCGAACCATCCCCTGCGCTGATACAGCGCCATTGTATCCCCCTTCGCATTTGAAATGCACACTTCCAAGCTGATACAGCGAAAAGCAACACAGAGGTGGGGGTGCAGGGCATATGCATGGGTCCCCTGGGGAGGGGTGAATTCATTCAAAGAAGGGGCGACGTGAGTGGGATACCTTCAAAGGAAGGTGTGTCGCTCTGGCTCGTCTGATGATCCTTCTGGCCACTGCTCCCCAAATGGTGCCCAGCCATCTTCATCACCAGCTGCCGCCCGCACCGCCCCCCCCGACGCTGTGCCCGCCGCCCCACCCGCCTCCGAAGCCAGAGGCGCCGGACTCCCGCTGCTGCGCCGCGACGCCTGGGTCGCGCAGCTGGAACTCGCGGGTGCCCGCCCAGTCGAAGGTCCCTGTCTCCCGCGCCTCCCCCGTCCACCGCCCGATCATGTCGTCGGTGAGGTACCAGGGGTACATGCGTTGGAGCATCAGAAGCCGGAAGCTGAGGTCGGTGTTGAGCACCTCCTGGGCGGCACGCTGGGCGCGCTCCCGCTCCTCAGCGGTCGACGTCTGCTGCTGCGTGGCCGGCTGTCCCTTGCCAGTGGGGGCCCCAGGCGGGGTGGACACGTCCTGCCGGCAGATGGGGCAGTTGGTGTGGTTGTCCAGCCACTGCTCCAGACCTGGAAAATTTGTAGTAGTGGAAAAGGGGGAACACGTTTATGGAGAGGTGGAAGGTAGTGAGTGGAGACGACCGGGTGAGCAGAATGCAGGTGGGGGCTTGGCCATGCAAGGGGCCAAGGTGGACAGGGAGGGATGGGGAAACAACAGCCATCGAGCAGCACATGAGGCAAGGTCCAACCATTGTCATAAAGCCCAGCACCACAGTGCCCTGTGCATCCCCGGGACCTGCCCCATCCCAAACCCACATGGCTCGCAGAAGGTGTGACCGCAGCGCAGCGTGACCGGGGTCTTGGCGTCGCCGTCCCCGGAGCCCTCCTTGGCGCCCTCCTGGCCCCCGCTCCGGCGGCGCAGGCCCACCCCGGCGTCGCCCCCAGGCAGGAGCGGCGCGGACGGGGCTGAGCTGCTGCTGGCCCTTGCCTCGTCGGCGGTGGATGAAGGCACTGTGCCTTCCGCGCCCTCACCGGGGCCAGGGGGCGCGCTGAAGTCCTCCAGACACACTGGGCAGCTCGCAGGCCGGGACCAGGCATGCGTGCGGAGGTTGTCCTGCTCACGCTTGATCTGCAGAGGGGGTGGAGTTGCGGGGAAGGAAAGGGTGAGAGATGGGGCGAAGTGACTGGATCTCTTGTGCAAAGCGATTTCTCTGGCGCGGGCATGATGGGTGCAGAGTCACAGGAAGGGTGCGCCAGGAGAGCTGCCCAACAGAGCCCCCGCCTCCCAGCGCCACACCCAATCACACGCGGCGCAGACCTTGTCCAGCATGCGCTTGCAGGCCTTGAACTCCTTTTTCCTGCGCCAGTGCTTCCTGTGAGGTGGATGTTCGAGGGTGGTGAGCATCATAGCAGTGGCCAGGATGGGAGTGGAAGCAAGGGACACTGTGCAGCCTGGGTGCGCCCCTCAGATGGACGGCAGAGAATCATGCTCAGTGCCCCTGCGCAGTGCCCCTGCGCAGTACCCCTGCGCAGTACCCCAGCACACCGCCCCGCGGACCGCTGCAGGCCTGTTCTTGACCACTGACCAGGCCCGCCAGGAGGACATTGACCTCCATACGCCCCCACACGAGAAAAAAGCTCTGCATCTGATCAGCTCCCACCATAGGTCCACGCACCACATGGACCCCCCGATCACGGCGGCGACGGTGCCGAAGATGCCGACGCCAACCCAGTCCAGTCCGTCCTCGCTGTCATGGCGGGGACCTGGGCTGCCGGCCAGGCCCAACCCCACGTCCACCACCATCTGCTGCACGGCTTCCCCCGTGAGCTGGCGCCGCAGCAGAGGCCGGGCGGCGGCAATGATGGCGGCCAGGTGGGCGTCGGGCAGCGCCTTGGTCGCGCCGGCCCCCGTGGAGATGTACACCTGGCGCTGGTCCAGGGCCAGGAGCAGGAGCACGCCATTGTTGCAGGCCGCGCTGCCCACGCCCCACGCAGCGTGCACAGCGTGGGCAAAGGCCTCGGCCGCGGCGCCGGGCTCCTGCCCGGGGTCCACATGCATGGACCGCATGAGGGCCACGCCCACCTGCCCAGGGGGAAGGGGGGTGGTGTGGGTGGGGGAGTGTGAAAACTCTGATGAACAGCTGGTCATGTCCGAGAGCTCAGTAACCTCACCCATACTATCAATACTGATGTAGGCCTGAGTCTGAGCAGGGAGCATCCACTATCCGCACAGGGTCTCCTGGTCCATGGGCAGGTCACACACTGCCACGACCTCCAATTTACCCC